CTGTTGGACATTTTCATATTTTCGCTCGTAAGGTTTGAGCTCTGGAGATCGGCGTTCGTGGGATCGGGGTCTTCGGGAGCTACTCGGACCATTATGAGCTTCTGGCAATGGACTTGGAGATCGTCTTCTTTCTTGGTCGTCTCGGCGACTCCTCTCATTCCATCGATCCCGACTCCAGTTGCTCGGCGTTGGACTTGGTGATCTTTTCCTATGCCAATCATCACCACGTGGAGACGTATCTCGGCTCCAGTTTTCACTGAATTGAAAAGACTGCTGGGACGGCGCCGGGGAGTTTAGGCTGAAAAAGAGAGTTCTAAAATTTTGCAGTTTCAAGATTATCAGAAAAATTGAGGGATCAGTTTTGGAATTCAATAACCGACTCCTAACAAGAATGGCTTCTAAAACTTGAAAATTCCACAAATTTTATCATTTCAAGTTTTTGGTTTCCATGCTATTTTGGAATCTTTTTGTTTTTGAGCTTTTTTTGTCTTTTCCAGAACTGAATCTTACCGAGAATCCCTATTTTGATGCTGCCTTGGTTCATTCCAACGAGGATCTCTCTGCCTTTGTCTCATGGTGCTTCCTGGTCTTTCCTGCCCGCTTTCGTATCTTTTGGGATTCCTGAAAATTTAAATGGACGAAATCTAGTTTTTTCTTTCCAAAATTAGGCATTTTAATTTCCAAGAATTACAGTTTCGAAATCATCAGAAATACATAATTCTCGGAGAATTCTGCTGTTTCGTTGAACAAGTATTTTTTGAATTTATTGGGAATTCAAGAATTTAAAAATTTACTATTTCAGTCTTTTCAGAAATTGTCAGGTTTGGTTAAGATTTGTTAATTTTATAGTACATGAATGTAATCTGTAAAGCGTATTTAAAATCTTTACCTACTTTTGTTGACCTAATATTTTCTGGGTCACGCAGTCGACTCCGAATTTTTTGAGGTACTATTTCTCGATATGTTCTACAACTTTCATGTTGACACCTTTTTATGAATCTTGACCTAAATAGGTGTTCCAGTGAAATGGCAGGGTGGAACAATAATTATATGGACCAGTGTAGTAAGTTTGGAGCCCTACAAAAGTGGCCTTGAATATTTCGGTTTGTCTGAAACTTTCAGAATATACCAAACATAAAGAGAGCTTCAATTTTGTAATTGCCAATATATTGGTACAAATTTATCCAAATGAGATATACCGCTGGAAACCAACCAAGTGCCAAGGCTGAATTCAGGTTGGTGCGAGGCGGAACATCTCACTTGGCCAAATGTGTACAAAAAAGTTGTCAACTACAAAGTTGCAGCTTAATTTTTGTTTAGTTTACTCAACAATTTTCAGACAAGTCGAAAAATTCTGGAATACTATGTAGGGATCCAAAAAAATGTAAAATTATTAAAGGTGGTGTGCGGTGATATGTTGGACCTATCAAAGTATAAAATTTGTTTAGCCCAGTTGAAGTAAGCTAGAAACAGGAAAAAACTCAAAAATCGGAAAAAAAAAAAGAAAATTTTGATTTCTGAGATGTCTACGTAAGTGATGAGTGCTCATTTGTAAATATTCAAGAAAAAAGGGGCGGAGTCAGACTTTAAAGGTGGTGTGCGGTGAAAAATTTTATAGCTTTATTTTGTGCAGAAATCCATGTAGATTCCCATAAAAATAAAGAAAAAATTCAAAAAAATTCCTTCATTGAGAAGAACGGCATCGAAAAGTCAAAGTTGTATCTGGTGGCCTAGCGGCCAGGTGTGAGTTTTCTAGGCCATCTGCCGGTAAAAGCGCGCGAAATTTGAATTTTTCTTGATTCTCCGTGTTTTCTCTGATGTTTTTTAATGATTTCAAAGTTTTATTGTTAATTTCCTCCCAGGTGTATGAAAAAACCTGACAAAAATCAGATAAAACACTGAAAATCAATAAAAATTCGAATTTCGCGCACTTTTACCGGCAGTTGGCCTAGAAAACTCACACCTGGCCGAAAGGCCACCGGTTCCCACTTTGACTTTTTGATGCCGTTTTTCTCAATGAAGGAATTTTTTGAATTTTATTTTTATTTTTATGGGAATCTACATGGATTTCTGCACAAAATAAAGCAATAAAATTTTTCACCGCACACCACCTTTAAACTTTTGGCCGGTCCAGTATATTGATACTTGATACTACAACCAAAACTTTCAAACAAAAAAGTGTGTTTCGAATTCTCTATATTTTCGAATCGGATATGATCCAAAATTCCGAATTCTGGCTAAGCTCACCTTGGTTCAAAATTCTGTTCCATCCTATTCTGCTCCCTTGCCATACTCTGCCTTCTGACGTCATTGGATTTTATTGGACTTTCAGGTCTTCTGAATCCAGAAACTGGATTCTGAATTCTGACGTCTTGGGTTCCAGGAGGTCTTCTGAATCCAGAAGGACTTCTATTTTCATCGGAATCCCACGTATTGCTCCTTGATCCTCCACTATTGTTCCCTGGCCTTTCCACAACATTCTCGTGTCCTCTGGAATTTCTGAAATTTTAAAAATTTGGATGACACTAGTTTTTCCTGCTGTAAAAAATGTTTAAAAAATTACGATTTCAGACACCTCAGATATTTCGAGGGTTGTCATAAAATGTAATGCAAGCGTGTTGTGATAAAGCGTAATGAAAATATTTACCCATTTTCATTTGAAAAAAGCTTAGTTTTGGAACCTCACAAAAGTGGTTCAAAAGTATTCGATCTGTCAGGAAATTTCAGAGTAAACTGAAAAAAAATAGAGCTTTAATTTTGTAATTGGCAACTTATTTGTGAAAATTCATATGAAAGATAGCTAGAAACCAACCAAGTGTTAAAGCTGAGTTCAGATTGGTGCAAAGCGGTATATCTTACTTGGCCGAATTCGTACAAAAAAGGCGTCCACTACAAAATTGGAGATCTATCTTTGTTCAGTATACTCTGAAATTTTAAGACAAATTCAAAATTTCTGGAATGCGTTGGTAGGGCTCCAAATTTGTCCATTTTTCACTGAAGACAGGAAAAGTGATTACTTTTGGCCGGTCCAGTATATTGATACTAAAAAGCCCATTTTCAGAAAATCCGAGTAGTTTGAGGTATCAAAAAATTACAACTTTCGGAAAAAATGGTGTTTCAATTTAGCTAGAATAGGCTGAAATTCAAAACTTTAAGATAATCATCAAATCTCACCTCGGTTCAAAATTCTGTTCCATCGTATTCTGCTCCATTGGCAAATTCTGCCTTCTGACGTCATTCGATCTTACTGGACTTTCAGGTCTTCTGAATCCAGAATCCGGATTCTGCATTCTGACGTCTTGGGTTCCAGGAGGTCTTCTGAATCCAGAAGGACTTCTATTTTCATCGGAATCCCACGTATTGCTCCTTGATCCTCCACTATTGTTCCCTGTCTTTCCCAGAACATTCTCGTGTCTTCTGGGATTTCTGAAAAATTGAAAATTTGGATGAAACCTAGGTTTTCCCCCAAAACTGGGTAATTGGAATTCCAAAAATTACAGTTTCGACGTCCTCAGAAATAAATATCTTCTAAAAGTGGGCTAATTGGTTGTTTGTCTGTCAAAGCCCTACACTGTCAAAGCCCTACAAAAGTGGTCCAAAATTTTCAATTTCTCTGAAAATGTAACAGTGTATTGAACAAAAGAGAGTTTTCACTTTGTAGTGGACAACTGTACTGTACAAATTCATGAAACTGAGATATACCGCTCGAAACCAATCAAGCGTCAAAGCTTTCAGAAATACTACAAGTTGAGACCCTTTCAAGCGATTGGACGAATTTGTACAAAATCAATCACAAAATTGAAGCTCTAATCTTGTTAAATATACTCTACAACTTTCAGACGAATCCAAAAGTTTGAACTACTTTTGTAGGGCTCCAAAAATAGCCATTTTCACTGAAAACAGGAAAAAACTGATAAATTTTATAACGATCCAGTATATTGATACTAAAAAGCTCATTTTCAGAAAAAAAGAGTAATTTGAAGTGTCGAAAAAATCTAAAATTCCAACAAAAAAAGGATTTAAAATTGGCTAGATTCTACTTGAAAATTCTGAGGGAATCTAAAGAAATCTCACCTTGGACCATAATTCTGCTCCATCCTATTCTGCTCTATTGGTATATTCTGTCTTCTGACGTCGTTGGATCTTACCGGACTTTCAGGTCTTCTGAATCCAGAAGGCGAGTTCTGTCTTCTGACGCCATCGGATCCAGAAGGTCCTCTGAATCCAGATGGGCTTCTATTTCCATCAGAATCACACGAATTGCTCCTCGACCCTCCTCGATTGTTTCCTTGTGGCGAGCGACTTCTGGGTCCGAATCTATTATTGGCTCTGGAATTTGAATCTGGAGAACGTCTTCTGAATCCGTCTGCATATCCACGACCGCGACCGCCTCGACCACCTCGCCAACCTCGACCTCGATCTTGGTAGTTTTGTTGCATTTTTCTGAAATGTGAAGTTTTGATTTTGAAGTCAATAAACAATTAAAAAGAAAACAATTTAGGTAAATGGCAAGAGAGTGAAATGGGGGAAATTTTTTCATAAGTATTTTAAAAATTTTGAAAAAAAAAGATATTTTTGATTTGAAGTTCAATTTTGAATTCAAAAAAAAAACGTTGCTGTGAGCATCGAAATAAGCTCAAATCGCTAATTTTGAAATTTTGGGGTTTTTTTTTACATTTGAAAACTATATTTCCGGAAGTTTTGAAAAAAATTATTTGGGAATTCGGGAACTTTGAAAAATTTCTAATTTTTCGAAATTTTCAAATTTTCTAGGTTTTTAATAAAATTATTTTTCGAAATACAGTATCTAAAAATTATGAAGTGTGTTTCGAAAATTTTGCAAATTTGCGAAAAATTGGGATTTTCAAATTTTCCAAAATTTTCAAATTTTCCAAATTTTAGAATTTTCCGAAGTCTCGAATTTTTGAAGCAACCATTTAAAAATAGTGAAAAAAAAAGATATTTTAATCGAAAAAATAGAGAAAAAAAGGTAAAAAAAATCAATCAATCAAATGGAAAATTTTCGAAAAACAAAAGAGAACGAGAGAGTATGGAAGAAGAAGAGGGTGGTTAGAAATTTCCCGCAAATCTTTTTTACATTGTAATCCTACTTTATTGGTGGCAAATGACAGATTTGACCTTTCCAAAAAGTAGGAAATTGAAAAATTGGAATTCTGGAAAAATGCAATAATATCTCAAAAACTAAAAGAGCTAGAAAAAAGTTGGCCAACTGCAAAAATGTGTAAAATTCAATTTTACACATTTCTCTAGTTGACAACTTTCTGTTAGGCTTTCTGGTTTTTGAGGTGTGCGCTTTTAAAAAATGACGAATCCTAATAATAAAAAACAAATTAAACATAGCAAGTTAGTTGCCATTCTTTCAAACTTATTAGTGTTCAATAGAGCGCATTTGCAGACTTTTTACACAACTAACTAACTGTTAGATAGAGAGATAGAAGAGAAAAAGAGACGTGAGGGGGGGGGGGGGAGTGTGGTGCAACTTTCGTTTACGCAATTAGATAAGAGAAGAGAGTGGGAGAGAGAGAGAGAGAGAGAAAGAGGGTAGAGAAAGCGAGAAAAAAGTTTTTCGAAAAAGAAGAACCTATGTGAACGTATTTTTAGGAAATTAAAAAACAACTAGAAACTGGGAAAATATTTTTACAAGAGGAGAGACAGGGGATTTTTAGTAATGTTTAGAAATTCGTAAAATTTCCGATTCGGCAAACACTGAGAAATGTGGTTAGCAGCCGTCATGCTCTGTTCATTTTACCAGATAACATACAAAACAGGATAACTGAAACTGGAGAAAAATAATTTCCAACTTCCGAAATGGTATTTACTTTAAGAAGTCAGAAGTAAAAAATCGGGGTTTTTTGAATTCAAAAACCAAAACTTGGAATAATTGTGTATGCAAAAAAGTGGTTCGTATATTCCAATTTGAAATAAAGCAAGAAAATTAAACTGAAAATTTTCAGAACTACAGTACTTGAAGGTATACAAAAAGTATTTTTCAGTTGATTTTTGATCATTTTCAGGAGTCTGGAGCTCAGCCATCAAATGTCAGGAAGTTTTCGATAGGTGCAAAACAGACCTAGAGTGAATACTTTGCATTTGAAGAATTTTTGTGAATTTCTAGTTTTTCAGATATTCGCCGATTTCTGAAAGGCACTTATTTTCACGTTTCACTATAAAAACAGAGCCGAAGGAACAAGGAACAGATCATTGGCCAGAACGATACAGTCTAGAATAAACCAAATTAATGAAACTGCAAAGGATTCAGACCTACTTTTCAAAATTGCTTATTTTCTAAAAATTCCAATTTATCAAAAGGAAAATAAACTTACCCTAAACACTCTAATAGAACGCCACCCGAATCGTCAAATTTGAGCCCATGTATCTCATTTTCCGTGAGAGATATCAAAAAGTGGTTAACTAATGAAATGTTGCTGATATTATGATGAACATTTTTTTTTTTTTTAGTGGACGGTCCGGGTGGCGTTCTATTAGAGTGTTTACGGTAACTGCTAATCTGAACAAAGTGTTTTGAAAATTGGTAAGGTGCATAAACCAAGAAATTGAAACTGTAATTTTTTTGAAAAATGCTTTTCTCATATTATCAGAAAATTCCACTTTGACTATTAAAAAAATGAAGAGAAAGAAATTGATTTTTTCAAAAATAGCCAAAAATTAAATGTCTTATATGAAACCGAAAAAAGTTCGGTTTCATTATCTCTAAAAACGTTTCACTAATTTTTTTGAATTATTGGTATGTTGATTATTAGTCTGTTATGAATCATAATTCGTTTGGAAAATTCAAAAATCAGTCATCTGCTTTTTTTATACGTCAGGATAAAAAAGGTCTAGACATTTTTCTGATTATCTCTATTCAGGAAACTATGCACTTCCTTAAAAATAAGGAAAGTATAAAAGCATCCTCAAAAATGTGATTTTCGATTTTCAAAAAAAATTTCAAATGAACCGCCTTCTGTACTACGGTAGTGTTGAATCGATTCCATTCTATAATTGCTCATGGAAGTCGCAAGAGGAATGGTTCGAAATTGGGCAGAAACGACCATTTCTTGGATATCCAATCACGATTTTTGGGATTTTTATAGAGCTACTGTACCCGCCGATTTTGTATATTATTTTTAAGAAGAAGCTAATTCGACATGCATGTTATAAAATTATTGTGGTTTTGGCACTGGTGGATATGACGGCGACAGGTAACTGGAAAACTTCAATCGTATTCCTTTCAACTTGTTTGCTGAGCTTTTTAACCTCGATTTTTGAATTTCCCGCCCTTGAAACCCCCAAAAAACATTTTTAAAAAGAAGTTGCCACCTACGGGAATCGAACCTAGGAACCCTAGATCAAAATTGTTGCCAAAAATCCCACTCGGCCATTCGAGCACTTTTTTGAAAAAGTTGGTTTAAAAGCGTCCGGAAGGGGTTTTCGAGTTTTAGAAGCTCTAGAAATGGCCAAGAAATTCAATTTTATCTCTTTGAACTGATATTTTTATATTCGGTAACTTTTCGGCGGAGCGCATGAGCTAATTTAAACCGCATAGCCAAGGGTTTTTTTTCAGCTTGCAGTTGCCTTATCAGTGGACCACTTTTCATCCAGGGAGCCGTTTTTTGCTCTTATCCAAATTTCATTTATGTCAGTGGAATTCTTGTGTTAAGTGAGTTTGTGACTTCAAACTCAATTATCTCGGTTCCTATAAGCGATATCAAAAATCTGTCAACTGATAAAATGTTTATCATGGTATCAGTAACATTTTTGTAGTTTATTGATTTTTGATATCTTTTATAGGAACCGAGATAAATTGAAGCAAATTTGGCAGTAAACTAGAGTCGTCGCGCCGCACCCGGCACCTATAATCATAATATCACTAATGTTTTTGTAGTTAATACATGTTTGATGTCTGTTATAGAAATTGAGATACGTGAGTTCAAAGTATTAAGTGGTCTCAACTTTCATCCCTTTCATCTCGACTCCTATAAAAGATATCAAAAATCTGTCAACTGACAAAATGTTTATCATAATATCACAAACATTTTATCAGTTGACAAATTTTGAATATCTCTTACGGAAAGTGAGATAAATCTGCAAGTTTTCAGGTACTTGGTGCACCTCCTGCCTATGCACCCTTCTCCTCTTCCTCAACCGTATCATTTTCATTGCCGTACCCCAATATTCTCACCTCATTGATGGAAATCTCGTTTATCTCTCTTTAATTCTCATCGCTTCTTACTTCATATTCTGGTTCTTTTTCACACCTACAGTATGCTTCAATTCAGTAGGAATGGCTTGGTATCCGGATCCATTAGCTATGGAGAAGTCATCGGAAGAGGCTGAGGAGTACTATAGGAATACTCCACAGGCTTGGAATAATTGGATTTTCGTGTCGGTTATGGTAGTTTTGTATGTTTCGTATTTTTTGAAAGTGAGAAAAGTGGCAAAAGGACAGCAGAAGTCGAAAGCGGCGAAGGCGGTGAGTTTGAAGCCCTACAAAAGTATTCCAGAACTTTTGGATTTGTCTGAAAATTTCAGACTATACTAAACAAAAATGGAGCTATAGCTTTGTAGTTGACAATATTTTGCCAGCTACCGTAGTTTTAGAGATATGCGCCTTTGAACAGATCGTGCTTCAGAAACGTCTTCAAGTTAGACCCCTAAAATGTGGTCTAGAATTTTTCAATTTGTCTGAAAACTACAGAGTATACTGAACAAAAATAGAGCTTCATTTTTGTAGTTGACAACTTTTTTGTACAATTTCATCCAAATGAGATAAATCGCTTGAAACCAACAAAGTGACGAAACTGAGCGGCTTAACTGAGTAGAGTTTTTTACTGTTTCAAATACTCGATTAAGAAAAATTTCTTTTTGAAATTTCGATAGTGCTTCAGATAATATTCAAATTTATTGTCATCTCGATAATTTGAAATACAAAAATCGATTTTTGGATTTTTTTTTTCGAAAAAAAAATTTTCAGATAGTCGTCCAATGCATCATAATTTGTTTTTTCAACACTGTCTGTGCTCTTGTTTATAACTCGTTCACACTAATTACTCCGGATCCGTTGATTTTATTAATTGGTATGCTTTGAAAATTATGTATTTTTAGTTGAAAACTCAAAATTTCGAAAGTACAGTAACCGTATCTTTTTCAGTGGAAATTGGACTTTGAACTCCTACAAAAGCATTCCTAAATTTTTCGATTTGTCTGAAAATTCCAGAATATCTGAAACAAGAATAGAGCTTTAATTTTGTAGTTGACAACTTTTTTGTACAAAACTCGTATTTTGGCACTTTTTTGGTTTCATACGGCTTATCTCATCTGAATAAAATGTTACTAAAAAATTGTCAACTACAAAAGATGAAGTTCTATTTTTGTTCAGTATACTCTGTTGTTTTCAGGCAAATTGAAAAATTTTGGACCACATTTGCAGGGCTTCGAAATTAGCTATTTTTCACTGAAAAGCGCTATTTTGCCTAAAAATTTCAAAACTCAATTTACCGATTTTCACAGTTTCAAAAAATCCATAAAGACCTGCTGCAATTTTTAATCCCAATATGAACCAGACATGCTTTCCCAGGTCAACTTTGCTGGTCCGTCAATCATGGATGCCCTGCACTCATCTACATCACTATGAATCATACGATTCGGCGGGAATACAAAAAATTAATTTTCCGGGTTACGGTAATTAAATTTTTCGGCAAATTGAAAAAAGCTTTATGATTTCAGAGAATCGAAGACAACACGATGTCAGTGACCACTAGTACTAATCATAAATTTTGATGATTTAAAACACTTTTTTTACAATGAAATATTTTTTTCTGTTTTGAAAAATTGATTTAGACCAAATTTTTTTTATTGAATATTTTTTTCGTCTCATCGAAAGTTTATAAAAAACTGTAGGACCCAGGACCCAGGACCCAGGACCCAGGACCCAGGACCCAGGACCCAGGACCCAGGACCCAGGACCCAGGACCCAGGACCCAGGACCCAGGACCCAGGACCCAGGACCCAGGACCCAGGACCCAGGACCCAGGACCCAGGACCCAGGACCCAGGACTATTGACGGAATTGATATTGGCAAGGAATCACTTATCGAGTGGATTATCAAATTTCAACCTACGATTCCACATGTTTGGATTTACAATGGAGTTATTACTTCTGTCAAAACTTTGGATCGTATTTTTAAAAGTCTTAAAGTGACGGAACATTTTGGGTTGGAGCCTACTGCAATAGATGAGAAATTTCAAATTACGGAACCAATTCCATTCCGTTCCATCGTGGAAAACGAATTGCAAAACACACGCATTTCGCAAAGAAAGTGGGCGGAGCCATCGCACACACAAAGTATAGTCGACGGCGGAACCCGCGAAGTGTCGGCCGCTGCGGAGAATAACTACCCGGTGACGCTCAGATGAAAAACAAACCAAATTTCAAATTCCCGCCAATTCGTGTCGAGACAGTTCGGCGTAATTGTCTGCGCCTTTAGTCGCGTATTGTACAACAAGAGAGAAAGTTTTGCAAAACTTCAAGGTTTTTCTCCCGTCCTGGCCCGCCCCTGATTTAGAGCCACCGAAGATTCAAAGTTCTTTCAGCTTTCACAAGATAAATTTGATCAGTGAAGAAATGCTCTCTATCAATTTCAGCTCAAAAGCTTACACAGAAGCAAAGTTAGTCACAATTAATTCAAAAAAAAAAAGACTAACTAGGGAAGGTTGTTTGTGGGTATGGGACTTCGTTATGAGACCTATATCATTCGAAAGCTGAAAATGAGACATTTTCAAAAATGTAATTCGATTTTGCTGCGGACTTACCATATTCGAGAAAATCGAGTTTGAAATCTCATTTTTGAAAAAGCAAAGGGGGGACCCCATGGTGACTTTTTTCCAAAAAAAATTTTTTTTGAAAAAACATGAAAAACTTACAGGATCTTACTGTGTTCTCTGAAACTGTTTGAAATTGTGGTTACATGCTTTTGAAAACTATTTTTGAGTCATTTTTTCAAACCACTTTTTGACTTTTGAGAATAGAAAGTTAATGGTTTACAAAAGATTTTGGATGTTTTTTTTGATTGTGATCGCAAATTTAGAAATTTGATAACCTACAGTGCGTTTCAATATTATACGTCCACTCTTGTTTTTGGCCGTAACTTGAGAACCGGTTGAGATATCAATCTAATTTTATTAAAATTGAATTCAGAGCAACAAATTACATCTAGAAAACCATTTTTGAGAAAAAATATTGAAAACTACTCGAGATACAGAGAAAAATCTGAAAATGTGACATTTGCAACCGTTTCAAAATTATACGTCCACTCTCAGAATCAATGCTAAAATAGAGAATAAAAAATATTTCAATACTTTGTGGATGAACCTTTACCAGCAATGACATCGAAGAGACGATTTGGCATCGATTTGATAAGGTTTTGGATGTATTGGGTGCTCTTAGTCTTGAACTCCTGCTCCAGCAGACTCCACTCAGCAATCAGCGCATCCCGAAGCTCTCCAATACTAGCATACTTCTTTCCATGGCGGTAAAGACGACGAACCAGCTCGCCCCAAACATTTTCCATCGGATTCAGATCTGGAGAGCAAGCTGGCCATGGCAAGACATCGATGTTTTTCGATTGGAACCAGTCCAAAGTGGAGCGGCTGACATGGATTGCAGCATTATCTTGCTGAAAAATGAACTGGCGGCGACTGAATCGACGACGAAACGGGATAAGGTGGTTCTGGAGAACGTCTTGGTAGTCTGTGGAGTTCATTCGACAAGTGGTGAAAGCGAGCTCCAAGTATCCAGCCGAAGCAAATGCTCCCCATACCATCAAACTGCCTCCCCCGAAATTCCTTTTGGCAAAAACGGCTGGATCCTTCCGCAAGTCGTGCCAGTACGATTTGAATCCGTCGGGTCCATCAAGATTGAATTTTTTCTCGTCCGAAAAAATTACCTGTAAAAGATAAGATAATTTGGATAGATAATTTTAAATTTAATACCTTATCCCAGTTGGTTCCCATGTTTTTTCGAGCGAAGTCGAGACGGCGAGTTTTGTGATTGTCAGTGAGCTTCGGAGCAGGGCGCATGACTGCTCTTTTGATGTTTGGATCATCCTTAAGAGCCCTCCAGATTGTACACTTGCTCACTCCAAGATTCAGCTCTTTTTTGATATCATTACAAGACTTCATGGTGTTTGAAGCCACACGAACGATTGATCGTTTGGCTCTTGAATTGAGTTTTGGAGGACGTCCAGCCTTGTTGGGTTGATTGTTGCGGGTCCGGTTCGATACAAAACGATTAATGCAATCGTGGGAACGATTTAGATGTTTCGCGATAGCCCTGTTGGTCCAACCAGAGGTTTTGAACGCGTCGATGAAGGCTTTTTCAGCATCAGTGAGCAAATGGCCACGAGACATGTTGAAAAGTGGAGAAAAACAAGGAAAAGCATAATGAAAAAAGTTTCTCACATTGGCAGCAAAAAACAAAACTAAATTCAAGCTTTTCCGGCTCCGCCAAAGGTCAAGATCGACATACCTTTGAAGTGGACGTATAATTTTGAAACGGTTGCAAATGTCACATTTTCAGATTTTTCTCTGTATCTCGAGTAGTTTTCAATATTTTTTCTCAAAAGATGGTTTTCTAGATGTAATTAGTTGCTCTGAATTCAATTATAATAAAATTAGATTGATATCTCAGCCGGTTCTCAAG